TCGCACAAGAGACCTTGACATTGCATTTATAGTACGTTCACGATTGATAGTCCAATCACGTATAGCTCATTGAAAATAGCAATAAACAAAAAAATATTCTATTTTGGTACTAAAATCACAATGACCAATCCTTAACCAATACTTAAATTGGGTATATTCCAGTTTATTATCATATTCAGATAATGTTTTATTATTGTGGTTTTAGTACAATGTTCTCTCTAATCACATAGCTTGTTTCTATTCTAAACAATACCAAAGAAAAATATCGATTTTGAAGTGTGATTTGACTTTGAAGTTTTTAATTTTCAGTCTCAATCGCTATCAAATGAAATAGTGTCCTTACATTGGCGACTGACACACCCCTTTTCTTTTAGTTATCAATATGCAAGTGCCTTTTATATTAATGGATACATATAAATAAAATTTAAGTATCGGTTTGTAATATTGAAATAACTGTTTTTTTATTGCATATGAATATAAATACACCGTTATTGGTGTATGTATATACACCAAAATAACAATTTTTTTACAATTTTTGTCTGTCTGTTTGTTCTCTCATCTCTGAGATGGCAGAACCGATTTTGACGGGACTTTTTTTTGGCAGGTAGCTGATGTAATAAGAAGTAACTTAGGCTATTTTTACTTTAGACATATTCTTTTATTTTAGATAAATAAAGTTAAATTCCATGCGGACGTAGTCGCGCGGTCGGCTAGTATTATATATATATTGGATATGTTATTGTAATAAGTTGATACTACTATACTAGCAGGTATAATACAATTTTATCAGTATTTAATTCAGTATTCACAAGAGAATGTTTAAAAATGAGGTATTAAGTATCAATGTGGATGGTTATAGGGATAAAAGAAGAGCTAGAAAGAGATTGATGAACTGTGTGAAAAATTATCTGATAGGGAAGGAAGTGAATACTGAAATGATTGCGTATAGAGCTGAATGGGAGTAGAAATCGTATTACGCCGATCTCAAATGATTTTGAATACGGTAAGAAAGATGATAATGGTGTTAGTATGTAATAATATTTTCCATCACAGCTATCATACTTTATATATGTACTCTATATTTAGATGGTTGCTGGTAAAAGATAATAACGTTAAATTGCATATTATTTTTAGTAGCTCGTCATATGTTTCTTATCTGAGTCGTAAACAGAGTAAGCATTTACACATGTTATGTGCGGTTAATTATAATATACAGTAGTTGAACTGACACAATGGTATTTCCATAATGTGTATCTTTTTAGAGTAAATGAACTCATAAACGGTAATTCAGTACTCGGTAATATAAAGCAAATGCTATTCATCACCATTTATTTATCTTTAAAACATTTTATCTAACAGCTTGTATATATACACATACCTACAGTACAAGGAGTATATATACATTTTGTATATATACATACATAGAGGGGAATTTTTATTTTATGTTCAATTATTAGTTTTTATTTTGGTAGAGATACTCTGGAAAGATGAAAGCCCGCCATTTGCCTTCAGGCATTCATTTTGATGATGCATGTATATTGAACTAGCTATTCGTCCCGAGTTCGCAAATGTGTACGTATATATCATATATATGAACCTTCGTCTGACTCACTGTATGTACTTAGGGATAAAAACTGGATTAAAAGACGTTGTGTAGTTTAAAAGATCTAAGCGACCAGACAGTGGAAACGACTTCATTTTATACTATGTAAAGAATGTCGATATCGTCACTAGGTAATTGTATTAAATACTGTTATAAGAATTGTGGAATTTGTATCTACTTGTGCATTTGAGAGCGCTTGATCTTCGCCCATTGTTTAAAGATATATAGATATAAAAGACGGAAAGCGAAGACTTAACTAATAAGAAAATAAATACACGTATAAAGTCATCGTGTATTCTAATTACGTGTCAATATAAAACCACATTAGTTTTCGCCCCTACTAATTATTCTGGTAGTATCGAGGTCGTCGCCTGATAGTGGTGACTTCATTGTCTCCGCGATATAGGTCAATGATATAAGGTTGTCCATAACTCATAACGTTGCAGTTTGAATTTGTAGCGGATATGAATAATAGTACAACATTCTAATGTATTTGTAATTTGTATTAGTACTAAATACGTGATGGAACGCATACTACTGACATGGTATGAGAGATACAATTACTCATAAATATTTTAATGTAACTTTTTAGCTAAATTCTAGCAATAGGCTTTGCGAGTAATAAGTTTGTAAATGCAAATAGATGAGAGAAAGGTTTCTGAGCTAAGTTGTAATTGTAGAACTACCAATTGGCAATTTCACTCGATTTCGAAAACTCTCGAGTAATAAGGTAGCTATTTATGTAATTTTTTGTATGAATGAATATGAAATGGTCTGCCTGCTGACGCTAACGGTTTACGCTGGCGGGGCATCAGTAGTAGAATAACAAAATGAGTACGAAGGCAGGTCAATTAGCCCATCTTGACAAATGGCAATTTACCACGAGGATTCTCAGGGAGAACCGAGAACTAATGTGAAGTAATAACCCCATTGGGGTTATTACTTCACATTAGTAATAATCCTATTCCCCTTTTTGTTCCTCTTTGTGTAAATTTCCTCTTTATATCCATGTCTTAAAATGTAAGGTAATATCAGGTCGTTATATTGACAACCCTATCACAAACACGGGTGAGGGGTAACCATTGTATGTAATGTTATATATCGACCTCACCTGTTTTACCTTTGGTTGTGCCAGTTTCGCTAATGTGTTATTATATTATAGCCATCTAAAAGTTCAGGTCATAAATTAGATACGTAAGTATCTGTTCCTGTTCAAACGAGAACATACAGACAATATTAAAGAATAAGCAGTTCAAATTGAGAGAGGAAGGGGTTTTAGTTATGGGGATCGGTGGCCCTGTTTATAGCTATGTAGCACATCTGGTCTTAGAAACCATGTTTAATTCCTGGTGACCTGAGCGAAGCCAGGGGCATCGAACAAGATGGTCTAACTGACCTACTACTGTAATAGTAGTGGCGTGCCCCTGGCTTCGCTCAGGTACTTATAACATTATGAGTATATTAAGGTCATGTATTTAAGTTATGCAAATAGCCAGTCTACCTGTAATAAATCACCTAAAGAATAATTTCTTCATTCTGTTTAAGCAGAAGTTTACTTTCCTCATAACTAAATCCATTCTTTTTCTTTCTTTGAAATGTTTGTCATACTAATGTTATGAAGGTTTCATATCGTTACATTTATGAATATGTTATCTATTACTTCAGTCAATATAATGTAAAAATAGTTCGGTGTATCAGTCTTATTTGTTGAATCAATGCTACCTTGACTGATGATGTTAACCACACTTGTATTATGCATGGATAAAACGCACTTATCCAATTGAACTAGTTATATTTAGATATAGTATTTATTTTATAATGTTTACATTCAAGTCGTTGGTATCATTTAGTAAATAATCACTACGTTCTACTTCTAATCGGTTAGGCATATTATATATATTTAGCAATTGTAATCATAGATAGTATAATAAGTCACTCTCTCCAATTAGTATTTTTTTCGCCGCCGAAATTGCTTTGACACTTCGGTTCAGCTTACAAATTGTATGGTATAAATTAGATATAAGGTCGCCAAAAAATATAAGAAAAATGGTGTTTCTAAGATCTGCAAGGATTTATTTGTATCGATGTAATTTGAATGTAGTATATCTCTTAAAACACGCAATGCGTTTCCTAAAGAATTTTTCGTCTACAATTTATTGTTCTACTGTTCAAGTTTTTACCGGTTATTTAATGTTACGATGTCATTTCACCAGGCACTGTATGCTTATAACTCAGTTGGGTGAGTTTTATTTCAATTTCAAACGGAACAGGTTTTTTATCTTTTACCCTTGAGCAGGACGCTTGGGTTGTCAGTTGAACTGATCGCTATGCACGTCTAGATACTGTTAACGCAATCGTACAGAATTTCATCACACTGTACTCTTTAAACTGTGCACGTAAGTGGGTTATGTATGCATCAAATAAAGTATTACCGCAATTAATCAAAATTCTGGTTCAGATGTCTGACTGACTGTGAAATATCAAAAACAAATAAAATAAGTAAGAAACAAAACCAGGAAGTGATTCATATTTTAATTTAAAAACTCACTCGCTGATGAATCACACATATAATAATAAAATAAGTCTTTATGGTAATATCTCATCGGTTCGGGAGAAAGACACTTTAACTTCAATGAATGATTTCTGGTCCTATAAAAGTTACATGAACTGTCTCTAAGACTTGCCAATTGAAGAATTGTACTAAAATTTTAATTTTGGCTCTTCGGGTATTCTATCCAAACATTAATCGATTATTGTTTCTAAAGAGATTCCCTACACTTGAGTTTAATTAAAAAAAAATTGAGTTTGAACGAAGTATATGGTACTAATGAAAACAATATTTAATGAAAACAAAATATCTTTATTCGCGTAGATCTACTACAAACAAATGATATGTCAAATCTACCGTCAGTTCGGAGTGTTTTCGAGCTAATAAGACTTGATTAGAAACTCATAAATGAGCTTGTCCATGATTCTTGTTAGCTGTTTGAGTTGTAATCTGTGTTTCTGTAGAATGGTGATATATGACTGAAATAACAGACTACAGAGGCATATCATCCTCCACAATAGCAACATATAGTGTGTATGTTTTAAAAATTTAAGTATTAGGTAGAAAATGTAAACGTAATATTAAAACATTATATTGTATAAAAGTGTAAAAAATATAAAAAGCGTGGCATTTATATCCGGATAATTTATTTAAAAAAAAGCAATTTATCACGGGCTTTACGTGATAGTCTACCATCCGTAGTGCGACTTTTTATCACTTTGTTGTGATTTGTTGTCACTTACCATTAAGTGAGCTTTTTCCACTTACGTAAAAAAGATTTCCTAAAACTAGTTGAGTTAATGTGTTGTAAAAAGAAAACTAAAAGAAACAATTTTATTCTATTAACAGGAGGGCCCGCATTCCACTTTGCCTGACGACGAGTTCTATGATGCTGTCGAGACGGGCTTCGACAAGATGGAAGAGGAGCGGTGCGCCCGTGTGGTGCCACCCAGCGTCCACACTCGAGACCAAGTCGAACTGCCACCACCGGCTATTGACAATAGACTCACTGTTCACTCACTATGGTCTGAGGTACATATTTTATTGTACTCCTGATTTCTAACTGTAATTAAAATTGGAATTGGAATGATTTTTCATTCCAGTGAAGAATTTTAGTCCTATATGAAATTAGATAATAATGTCACGTCGACCTCCACGCGAAAACCATGTTTAATTTTTAGTGAATTCATCATGATGTACTAATACTTAGGCTAAAACTTCATCTTAATATATTATTCATCGTTCACTTTCACCATTCCAAAAGAACACAAACTGTTTTTGTTTTTATAAAAATATATAGACATGTTAGACAGTTCATTGATTTATCTGTTGTTGTTATAAAAGTGAAAGACTATTAACAACTCAGAACAATTCACACAGCGTCACCTAGTCCCAAGATAAGCAGAAATTGTGTTATAGGTACTGGAGAAGTGGTATAAATATATAACTTTTTTTTTTAAATAAATACATCATATATATAGAAATCATCCGGACTCATTCTCATGAATACAAATGTTTGTACCGTGCGAGGAATTGAACTCGCGACCATCAGAAGTCGGCGGTGTGCTAAACCGTTAGACCACCAAGGCCGTCACAATGTAAGTATGATGTTCTAATATACAACAATGATGTTACAGATCGACAGGATATCTACGGAACAGATACAGGCAGCGTTTGAAGGGGTCGGCGGTGAGATTGGTTGGCAATTGTTTGCTGAGGAAGGAGATATGAGGATGTACAGAAGGTTTGTTATGTATATCATGAAGTAGATCTATATTTTACCATCCGGATCATTTGGATGAATTGCAGTCTTTCACCGTGTGTTTTTCTAGAACTTTTTGCCACGATCAACCACATTGTGGAATCACATTCTAGCGATTGTATTTCCAAACCGATATGATATAGAAACCTTCAAGAAAAGAGCGTATTCCTTCTTAAAAGCCATGCAATTCCCCTGGTGTTGCGGGTTATTGGCGGCGGTAATCACTTAGGTGAGCCTTAAACTCGTTTGTCCCCTATAAAAAAAGTATATCAAAACTACTACATTTTCAATCTTCTCATAACAATGGTACATGTTATTCCTTTAAACAGGCAAAAACGCCTTTCCTCTGATACTAATAAGATGCAAACTCGGTCTTTAGATGTTAGCGCATATTCAAGATTCTATGATTGTTTATAGGGAAATGGAAGTGGATGGAATGGTAACGGATCCTCTGAAGGCGATGCACAAAGTCCGTGGAGTGTCAGCTCGTGAGATGTGCCACTATTTCTTCAACCCACGCTACAGATTTGAATGGGAGAGTAAGTTACATTTGTTTTATTGATATTAAAAAATAATTTACTTTTAAGTATTAATAATTTTCGAGATGCAAAACTGAGTAAAGACGTTGGTTGTATAAAAACTACGTAAATATATATTTTCATCTAAAAATGTATGACAAGGAATGACAATAAATAATAATAATAATATATCATATCAATAATAATAATATCTCTGGACAATTCACACAACGCGATCTAGTCCCAAGGTAAGTAGAGCTTGTGTTATGGGTACTAGACAACTGCTATAAACACATAGATTTATTTTGTAAATAAATGGCCTGATATACATAGTAAACATCTAGACCAATACAAACGATCATACTTATAGATACAAATGTTTGTGCCGTTCTAGGAATAAATGCATTAATATATAAACCATTAGAGGTAAAGTGGTTTGCTAAACCATCAAGACCTTTGTGAAATATCAAGAAAATATATTTTTCTGCCTCAGTCCATGATCTGATCGCCATTTTGTCTTATTCATAGGTGTTTTTTTTTTCTTATCGCGGGCCCCTATTGTTATAGTTTTTGTTAAACGGCGACCAACCAATGTCATTGACAAAAGCATACAGGAAGTTGCATAAAACGATTACAAATTGTGACATTCGATACATTTCCGTACAATAACCCTTTGTATTCATGGCTCATTCAAATAATAATTTAAGCAACATAAAATGGTGTCAATCCATTGTTTTGGTGCATATAAATGGATTGTCATTTTTATTTTACTATATTACTAATATTATAAACGTAAAAGTTTATGAATATGGATGGTAAGTTGGATGAATGTTTGTTACTCTTTCACGCAAAAACTGTTAAATTTTCATTAAACTTTACAGTAAATGTTACTGTAAAGTTTAATATACATCAGAAGATCACATAGGGAATTTCATACGGGTGAAACCGCGTACACAGCTAGTGTTAGTATAAAGGCGTTCTAGTTTAGGGTTGAGATCACAGACATAGATAGGGATATAGAGATCTGAAAGACAGATTAACAACACAAATATTTCAATTTATATGCAAAGTAAACTACATTGTATGCTTTTTATGTAATTGGAATGGGAATCTTAGTCTATGTATTTATATCAGTTGTCTAGTATCCATAACACAAGCTCTGCTTAGCTTGGGACTAGACGGAGTCGTGTGAGTTGTACTGGAATATTCATTCGCTGATTTTAATGTACAATGTACTTTCCCGCTTGAAATTTATGTGTTATTTTGATGTATTAGCTATATTACTGTAAAGTATCATTCAAATCCGTTCAATAGTTTTTGTGTGAAAGAGTAACAAATATCCATGCATCTATACTCTTAAACTTTCGTGGTATAAGATATAATATTATAATATTACTAACTACTAATGGTGTCATTGTGGGTAATCCTCTTAGAAATGTAATAGATTCTTGCTATCTTCGCAGTTTTATTAATATGATTTGAATTGTAATTTCAGCAACATTGGAGACAATGAACATTGTGGAGGAGATATCGTCAGACGCGATGGTGTTCCACCAGACATTCAAGCGCATCTGGCCGGCGTCGCAGCGGGACGCATTGTTCTGGTCGCATGTGCGAGCCTCAGATGACCACACCTATGCAGTCACCAACCATTCCACCACCAACTCGGAGTATCCGGTCAGTAAATATACTTTTATGACTTTTTTTTACAGCATAGCATAAGATTATAAAAGATAAAGGTGTCTTGATAACGGGACATATTCTATAATAGTAAAAAAAGTAATAATATTTTTCTTGTTTGAGTAACGTTTTTTATAACATAAGGAACAAACAAGCGGATCACCTGTTGGTAAGTGATTTCCGTTGTCCATGACCCGCAGTACCAGGGGAATTGCAAGCACATTACCGGCCTGTTACAAGGAATAAAGTTTTTTCTTGAAGGTTTGAATATTATATTTGTTCGGAAATACCATTGCTGGAAGGTGTTTGTTTTTGGAAAAACGCACGATGGAGGGCCGCCATTCATCCAGAGGAACAGTAGCTGGTATTAATCCGAACCATACCTTAATACCATCTTCCTGTTCTTAGTAAAATCAGCCATTTTACAACATGTTTCGCCTCTGAACGTCACGTCATCATCCGGCATTGAGTAGAGTTCTATGCGAACACTACATCTAGTAGCTTGGAATCCCACTGTTGACTGTCCGATCGGATAGTAAACTGAGTTGTCAATTTTTTTATTGTAAAATATAATTTTGATTTTCAGTCTAACACTGGTGCCTGTATTCGTTTATTCGTGACGGTGTGCCTGGCGTGCCGCAGTTCATACCCGCCTGGCGAGCAACCCACGCGAGATAACATCACCACCAGCATCGCATACTGCAGCACCGGTATGTACTACATAATCCACTTATAACTTTTTTATAACCCCAGAACAAATAACACAGTGCCATCTAGTGGCACGGTAAGCAGAGCTTGTGTTATGGGTAGATAACTATACTAGTATATATTTTTTTTATAACCACTGATATAAATACTAAGATATTTTCAGGGTTTCTTTATAAAATATAAAATTTGTTTCTCTGTAAACAAAGATATAATTTTAAAACACTACAATTTTTAATACTGAAATAATGAATCATACATATAACTCACCTGTAAACAAAGAAACGACATTTAAAGTTTATTACAAATATTATTCAACTTTTACTGTCTTTTTATAATATATTTTATATAACCTTATTCACGCACACTTGTTTTTGCACGATCCATTTTTATGTTATTTCTATTGACAGCTCCCTTTGACACTCCTTGCAATTAACAGCGCGGAACGCGCCAAAATTTGAATTGTTGAAATATTTAATTATATTATTATAAAGAATTTCTTGATATAAATACTAAGATAATATATATTTTAATACAATATATATTGTGTAAATACATACATAATATACATAGAAAACACCCAGACCAATACAAACAATCGTACTCATAAATATAAATAATTGCACCGTGAAAGGAATCGAACCCGCAACCATTTAAAGTAAAGAGTGTGTTCAACCGCTAGAACATCGAGGTCGTTAATTACCGAACTTGTGTATACCGCCCTGGTTTAGCATATGCGCTCTTAGTTTTCTATATATTACCATTATAGTCACCGGACTACCGACTTTATACCGATAAAGTAAATTTTTTAATTAGAATAGGAAACGTTTAACTTTACCTACTGTTTAATACTAAAGTAATATGTACAATTTAAGTGGAAACATCCATATAATAAATGTTCATTTGATTAGTATCATTACAAATAGCGACTCTCTTTAATCGTCGCCTATACATACATTAACAGCACGTTAACATGTGACACCGTGATTCCACTAATGCATTGCTATTCCACCGGACTAAAATGTCATGCCTCCTGTAATTTACCTGCCTAATTTGCCATAACTAAAACTTAGAACCATAACACAACATATGTCTTGTGTCACACTGGACATATCTCTTTTAGAGATAAGTCCTATTTCGCAAACAAAGTTTCTAATATTTGTTCCAATTTTTGTATTTATAAATATATACCATAATATTTCAGTGAATCCCGGTGGATGGGCGCCGGCCGGAGTTCTCCGAGCGGTGTACAAACGTGAATACCCCAAGTTCCTGAAAAGATTCACCAGCTACGTGGTAGAGCAATGTCGCGGTAAGCCACTCGCTATCTAGCGCCTACACACTGTGGCCTAAACTGGCCATTACAGCCATTCTGACCATTGTAGCCAGACCTCGCCAACGTCTCCCATAATATACTATATTCTGTTCGCTGTAGTATGTCGCGTGTGACAGTTGATATTTAAATACTTGTACGTAAAATGACTATTAGTATTCTGATAGATTCAGATATATATATTATACTAGCTGACCCCGCAAACGTTGTTTTACTATATAAATTAAAATAGGAGTTGGCGATAGGATTTTAAATTATAGGGTTGTATGTATTTGTTAATGCCACATAAAAATATTAAAAAAAAATGTTAGGGTTGGATAACCCTTATCACTTAGGGGTATGAAAAATAGATAGTAGCCGATTCTCAGACCTACTGAATGTGCATATAAAATTTCATAAAAATCGGGAATGCCGTTTCGTAGGAGTATGGTATTGTGGCTAAAGATTGTGACACAAGAATTTTATATATAAGATATATATCTGAATCTATCAAATATTACCTAGATATGTGTAGTATATATTATATACTTTTTTCTTACATATAATTATCATATTTCTTGTCTTTTTGTGACTTTACTATATGGTTGTCATTCGCAACATACTACAACACTTAAAGTATAGTAATAGAATAGTATCGAAGAATAAATCCGAATTCATAAACGGCATGCAGTGTCCAGGAAAGGGCCAATGTTGGCTGAATAACAAATATTGTTGGTATAATTCAGTCCTCGATGACAATGGTTTCTTGTAATGTTAATATATGGAGCATGATTGCTTTCCTGCTATTTGTTATGTAAAATGTAGTCTTACCTTCTTTTTCATAAGAACTCAAACGTGTAAAAACCTATTTTAAATGTGGAATTGTTTACTTTTGTCATTTTTTTTATGTTTTCTTAATTTGGAAGAAAATGACAAAAAGGTTAGGTTTGTAGCAAGATTTAGTTTTTTGTGAATAAGAGGGTTTGACTTTTATAGTCTTTTTACCATATATATACATATACCTGTAATATAAAGGATATAAAAATACGGGAATAACTTACGCCAATAGGCAGTACATATTTTCTGTAATATACGCAAATGTTTAGTGTTTTGTTTGAGAACATTGTTTATATACTGTATTAGTAATTAGTAATAAGTATTTCGCTTTATCTATTGGCAAAAAGGGCCGCTATGTGTAATGATATTGCGAACGTTAGAGATATTGTAATCTGGAAGACTAATCAAATGGACATTACATATGTATATTGTATGGATGTTTCCATTTTGTACATATTATTTTTATATAATCAATAGGCATTTTTATTTTACTCATTTAAATGTATCTTAATATGTATGTTAATAAATTTTCACAGGGGTTTCATTTCAATTAAATATGTCTTACAAATATTTAGGTCACTGAACGAAAATGTAAAGGAAAAATTTAATTGTTTCTGTCACTTTAAAATGTTTGATTTTGATTACACAACTTTCTACGATGTTTTAGACGACTAGGTGGTGTTCAGATTGTAAATGTATGTGGGAATGAGGATTCGCGAATAACAGGATGATTATTTTATAGAACTCCTTTTATTTAAATTACAAAAAAAAACATTTACTATGATACATGAAACGACCTAACTATATGGCAGTCTACGAGGAAGAGAGCGATGCCCATCCTCTTTTTCCATTCATTCCTTTCTCCATCCATTCACTCTTTCGTTTCTATCCATTTGCTCCTCTGTTTCCATTCATTCATACTCATTCGTTCCCATTCGTTCATACCGCCAAGTTTCAAATCCTACAACTCGGCCATCCTGCATTGGAGCCTGACCTCAGGGTCCGTCTTTCACTCTACAATTCTTCTAACACACTCTTTTCATACACACCTACTACACACTAAAGCAAAATATAGAATGAAAATACAACTAAACACCTTAAATTAAAACATGACCCTTCTTATAACATAGTTACACAACTTTAACATATTACACAGTACAAAAAATAATAATAATACACAAAGAAAAAAAATACAACTGGTACAGTACCTATACTCCTATAATCAAATACAATATAAACTAAGTACTAAAATAGGTACAATCAAATAATCCTTTATCTTCACCATAAGCTAATACTAATGCCTCACAAGGTCAGCCATCAACTTAATTTGAAAATTACAATAATTTGGTAAGTAAATGAGTTTCAAGAACTAACCTCTGGCCACCTCTTCATATAGTCTGCTGAAGTGGACGTCCTCATAGGTCCCTCAGAAGCAATATCGACCTTCAGTACATCATAGCGGTCTCTGCCATTGACTTTAACAACTTTATAAGGTCCTAAATACCTTTGCTTTAATTTCATATTAGTACCAAATTGGGTTCTCTTGATTACTACATAGTCACCAATATTATGTTTAAGGCTTTCCTTGCGTTTTTTGTTATAATTTCGCCGATTTTCATCTTGTACTTTTAAAATTTGTATCTTAGCCTGTTCTCTCGTTTCTTCTCTATTTGTCACAAATTCGTCTCTACTTTCTTCTAGTAATAAACTAAAAATATTTAAATCCTCTTTTTGTTTCATTTTTACACCCACCATTAACTCATAAGGACTGGTTCCTATACTTCTTTGATAAGTACTATTTAGAGCCCTTTGAACTCTACTCACATGCTTATACCACTGACTTTTATCCTCTATGCACAGTTTCGTTAAGACTGACACCAAAGTACGATGAATCCTTTCTACCTGCCCATTTCCTCTGGGTACTCCAGTGGTGATAACAATATGTTGGATATTCTCATCTTTACAATAGTCATCAAACTCCTTGCTAGTAAAAGCCGTTCCTCTATCTGATATAATTCGATCTGGGTTTCCAAAAGTCTGCTGATGAATAAGTAACTTACTTAATGTCTCCTTAGTAGTAGTTGTCTTCACTGGAAAGAGCCAAACAAACTTTGTAAATGCGTCTACAATTGTTAAAATATAATTATACAATTTTGAAGTCTCTGAGAGTGGTCCTATGTGATCAATATGCAATGTACTAAGTGGGATAATGCCCTTCTCTATGGAATTAAGAAAACCTTCTTGTTTTCCTTCTTTCTTCGTTGCCAACAAACATGGTACGCAGGTTACAAGGAAGTTATCTATTTTAGAAGATAAATCTTTTATATAATAATCTACATTTAACATTTCTAACATCTTTTTCTTGCCAAAATGACCATTCGAGTGAATTGTTTTAATAATTTCCATTTCTAATCCCTTGGGAATAAGTATTTGTCCTTGATCACCCTTGTATATGATTCCATTCTGTTCATAATAATCTTTGTAAGGCCTCTCCTTAATTATATCTGAAATCGCCTTTATACCCTCATCTAGTTCCTGTGCTCTCCTGATTTGATCATGTAACCCTCTGGTAACAACAGTAACATAAGGATTGCGGCTAAGAGCATCAACATGCCGCATCTGATTCCCTTTTCTATGCTCCACCTCATAATCATACTCTTGTAATAACAATACCCATCTTGCAACTCTAGTTGATAAATCCTTCTTTTTTAATGTCATTTCAAATGCTAAGCAATCAGTAACAATCTTAAATTTTATGCCAAGTAAATATTTCCTGAATTTTTTAACACCCTCTATTATGGCTAATGCCTCCAGCTCATAACTTGTGTATTTCTGCTCTGCATCTGAGGTTTTACGACTTAGGTAGTACACAGGGTGTAAACTCCCATCATTAGAATCCTTTTGAAATAATATTGCTGAATAAGCCATGATAGATGCATCTGTATGCAATTCGGTATCGAGTCCTGGGTTATATAATTTTAATACTGGATTTTCAGACAACAACTTCTTTAACAATTTGAATGCAATCTCCTGTTTTTCACTGAAAATAAAATCATTATTCTTCTTTAATAAGTCTGTTAATGGTCGTGCTATAGAAGCATACCCTTCAATAAATTTTCTAAAATAGGATGTCAATCCAATGAAACTTTGAATCTGTTTTACCGACTTAGGTTGCGGATACTTTAAAACTGCTTCAACTTTGTCTCTACACGGTTTTATTTCTCCATTTTCAATTTCATAACCAAGATATTCCACCTTTTTAGTCAATAAGTCACTCTTTCTCCAATTTATATGTAATCCATATTCAGAAGCTAATTTTAAAACTTCACGAAGTCGATCTATGGCTTCATCATATGTGTTTGATAATATTATTAAGTCGTCAATAAAAATTAATAGAAACCCCTTTGCTATAAGCTCTCTGAAAATAATAGTGATAAAACGTGTGAAATAATTCGGACATATGGACAAACCAAAAGGTGCTCTCATAAACTCATATTGACCATTCTGTGTCACAAAAGATGTATACTTTGTACAGTTACTATTTATTTTGAGATGAAAAAAAGCGTCTTTGAGATCCAATTTACTAAAAACCGTGTATCCAGAAAGTTTATCTAAATGATCTTCAATGATTGGTAGAGGAAACTCATCCCTAACAATTTTTTTATTTATTTTACGGTAATCAACACAGACTCTTATACTACCATCTTTTTTTCTAACTAATACTAATGGGCTTGCATACTCTGAAAAGCTAGGTTTAATAATACCATTTTGTAACCACTCACCAATTTGTTTATCAACTGCTTCTTGTTCCTTATAGGCTAGTCTACGCGGCCGCTGTGCCACCGGCACATCGTCGTTCAGGATAATCTGCATTTCAAATGGTGCCTCCTTGGTTTGTAAGGGCTTATATTGATCCACTATAAGCTGAGCTGTCTCCATAATCTGAGGATTTGGTACATAACTAACCGGTTTGTCATCTGTAAACAAACAATGCACATTCCTCGAAACTACATTTACCACACCTTTATCGAAAATAACTACCGCATTTTCCAAAAATGGTCGACCTAGGATCACTTTGTAAGGCATTGCATTTGTTGGTACAATATAAAACAATAATTCAAAATAACAATCATCAATTTTTAGTACTGTTTGAAATTTTCCTATAGAGTAAACAGTCGACAATCCCAGTCCGTGCAACACTATCTTTTCTTTATTATAGGCACTCACATTTAGTTCGAAAAATACATCTGCCGACACCAGATTTACGTCACTCCCCGAATCAATTAAACATTCGATTATTACGCCATTTATCTCCAATGTTTTGATTGAACTATTTC